ATCATTATCTATTTATTCTCTATCTATCTATCTATCTATCTATTCTATCTATCTATCTATCTATCTATTTCTCATTCAATTGACATGTTGATGATTCATCTGAAATAAGGGGAATTTAAACCTCAATATAATAATGCAAATTTATCTAGTCTGAATAGCGGATATTATCTAAATGTTTTTTGAAAAAATTATAAATAAATAAAAAGAATCTATCTATCTGGAACTGTCTATCTATCTATATTCATATTTAAGATAGAATCATATTTTTGTTGAATCAAATTTCAGTGTTTATTTTTCTATCTAAAATTTATTTCAGAATTCAAATATTTCATCTATCTATCTATATATCTATATATATATCTATCTATAAGACGTTCATTTTGTCTAAATTCACCCATAAATTATTACACCCAATGAAATTCTTTAGCCAATCATATCTATCATCTATCCATCTATCTATCTGTTTCAATCTATCTATCTATCCATCTATCTATCTATAGGATGAATCTATTGGAGGGTCGTCTACGAATTATTCACATCAGGTAAGTGACAAACTCATTATTCCAGCTGCCCCGTCCATTTTCTATCCATATCTATCTATCTCTTCTATCTATCTATCTTGAATCTATCTATCTATCTATCTATCTATCTATCTATCTATCTATCTCATTCAAGAAATAGATATATTAATTCAAATTCTATTTAACAATATTTAGCATTATGGCAACCTGATCATTATCTATCTATCTATCTATCTATCTATCTATCTATCTATCTATCTATCTATCTATCTCATTCGTTAATCTTGAAACAGAAAATTCAATATATCTTGCTACAACCAAATAACAAATTTAGAACCATTCTCAGAAGTCTAATTCAAATTATGTCTATCTATTCCATTATCTATCTAAAATCAGGGTAAACTATCTATCTGCATCTATCTATCTCATTCAATTCAGTTTTTTTAGCTCTTATATTACAGCTCCAATATTTACTGAATGAGTGTGATCAGTGTTAGGTTCTATTTATCTTTAGTCTATCATATCTATCTATCTATCTCGACCAAGAAAGAAACAGATACTTCGTTAACATTGAAATAGTCTCATCATTATCTAAGTTTATCTTTCTATCTATCTATAACTTCGTATTATTATTATTGCGAATCTAGAATCTTTTGTTATAATACCATTTCAATTCCACAACGAAATGAAAACTTCGATTAGTCTCTTGAATAGTTAACCGTTATCTTCCCAAATGTAATTCAAAATTTATTATCTATCGGGGTGGCATTTGGTCCTTGTACAGTATTATTATTGTAAAAAAGCCAGAAGGCACTTTAATTCAAAATCAAATCTTGAACGATAAGAAGTCCACCAAAAGTTTATCCATTATTCATATACGGATAAATTAGGGTAATGTTTCTATCTATCTATCCCAGAAGGAATTTTATTCAATCTGTGCAATACGGAAACCACACACAAGAAAACATTTTCAAGAATTAGCTAAATTTTTTAACTTTATCTATATATCTACTTATATCTATCTATATATCTATCTATCTATTTTTAAGACAATTCGTCCCATAACCCCGGATATTACGACGTGAAATGAACTGTATTTATTTTGAAGTCTGAATATATTATTCAAATACTTTCTATACTTAAAATTGGCGTGCAAAGATTTAACCTGTTCATATCTAGGTCTAATCTATCCATCTATCTATCTAAAATCTGTCTCAACAGTCATTCAATGATAATATGAGGACTGTGGAGAGCCAAAATTCCTTCGTTATGTCTTTCCCACTGTCTCTTTATTTTCTCAAATATTATGACACCAAGATGAACACTTCGTTAATTTTAAAACCTGAATTTATTTCGGTCTACATTGTATATTGACACCAAAGAACACTTCGTATGACTTGAAATAAGAAAATTCAAAGCGGATGCAATATATTATGACACCAAGAAAGGTAACTTCGTTAATACTTTTAAGAAGAAAAAGTTTATTTTTGTCTACATACAATATATTATGACACTCAAGAAAGAGCACTTCGTTAGTTTAAGAAGAATTCTCTCTCACATCAATATATTTAAATAGTACTTCTTTATTGAAATAAGAAGAATTCTAAGTTTATTTTGTTGAATTAAAACGAAACTTCGTTAATGTAAGAAGAATTCAAAGTTTATTTTGTCTAGAAATATATTTACACCAAGAAATTAAACGTTAATAAATAAGAAGAATTCAAAGTTTATTTTGTCTACATATATATTATACCAAGAAATATGCACTTCGTTAATACTTGAAATAAGAAGAAGAGTTTATTTTGTCTACATGTTTCGTTAATACTTGAAAAAGAAGAATTCAAAGTTTATTTTGTCTACATGCAATATATTATGACACCAAGAAAGTGCATTTCGTTCTTGAAATAAGAAAATTCTAAGTTCATGCAATATATTATCTACATATCTTGAAATCTATGAATTCAAAGTTTATTTTATCTACATGCAACGTTATTATGACGCAGTTTATTTTGGTCCCACTACAAAATGTTAGGAGTTCTAAATATGAAGAATTCAAATTTATTTTGTCTACATACAATATATTCTTGAAGAAAGAGCAACTTGAAATAAGAAGAATTCAAAGTTTATTTTGTCTACATGCAATATTATGACACCAAGAACGTGCACTTCGTTAATACTTGAAATAAGAAGAATTCTAAAGTTTATTTTGTCCGGGCAATATATTATGACAAAGAAAGCAATCGTTAATATGAAATAAGAAGAATTCAAAGTTTATTTTGTCTACATGCAATATATTATGACACCAAGAAAGAAACTTCGTTAATACTTGAAATCAGAATTCAAAGTTTATTTTGTCTAATGCAATATATTATGACACCAAGAAAGTGCACTTCGTTAATACTTGAAATAAGAAGAATTCAAAGTTTATTTTTTTACATACAATGGATTCAGAAATTCTTCGTTATCTGAAATGAAGAATTCTTTATTTTGTCTACATGCAATATATTATGATCCAAGAAAGTGCACTTCGTTAATACTTGAAATAAGAAGAATTCAAAGTTTATTTTGTCTACATGCAATATATTATGACCAAGAAAGTGCACTTCGTTATATGAAATAAGAAGAATTCAAAGTTTATTATTTTCTACATGCAATATATTATGACACCAAAAGTGCACTTGTTAATACTTGAAACTCAAAGTTTATTTTGTCTACATGCAATATTTATGACACTAAATTCATTTCGTTAATCTTGAAATTTATTCAAAGTTTATTTTGTCTACATCAATATATTATGACTCCAGAAATTGCACTTCGGAATTGAAATAAGAAAATTCAAAAGTTTATTTTTGTAGTTATGCAATATATTATGACACCAAGAAAGTGCACTTCGTTAATACTTGAAATAAGAAGAATTCAAAATTTTATTTTGTCTACATGCAATATATTTACCTTACTTGAAATAAGAAGAATTCAAAGTTTATTTTGTCTACAATATATTTTGACACCAAGAAAGTGCACTTCGTTAATACTTGAAATAAGAAGAATTCAAAGTTTATTTTGTCTACATGCAATATATTATGACACCAAGAAAGTGCACAGAGGTTAATACTTGAAATAAGAAGAATTCAAAGTTTATTTTGTCTACATGCAATATATTATGACACCAAGAAAGTGCACTTCGTTAATACTTGAAATAAGAAGAATCAAAGTTTATTTTGTCTACCAATATATTTTCCTTTTTTATTTTTCTACATTCAAATATTTTGACAATAAAGAAAGTGCATGACTTCGTTAATACTTGAAATAAGAAGAATTCAAAGTTTATTTTGTTACATACAATATATTATGGCTTAAGAAAGAGTACTTCTGTTAATACATGAAATAAGAAGAATTCGTTAAAGTTTATTTTGTCAGATGCAATATATTATGACACCAAGAAACAGCACTTCGTTAATACTTGAAATAAGAAGAATTCAAAGTTTATTTTGTCTACATGTAATATATTATGACACCAAGAAAGTGCACTTCGTTAATACTTGAAATAAGAATTTTGTCTAATTAGTATATTTTAAGAACATGCAATATATTATGACAAGAAGAAAGTTTATTTTAATTGAAATAATTAGAATAATAAAGTTTATTTTTAATACATGCAATATATTAAAAGTCTAAGAAATTGACACTTCGTTAATACTTGAAATAAGAAGAATTTAAAGTTTATTTTGTCTACATACAATATATTATGACACCAAGAAAGAGCACTTCGTTAATACTTGAAATAAGAAGAATTAAAGTTTATTTTGTCTACATACAATATATTATGACACCAAGATGATTCTTACTTTTAATACTTGAAATAAGAAGAATTTAAAGTTTATTTTGTCTACATGCAATATATTATGACACCAAGAAAGTGCACTTCGTTAATAATTGAAATAAGGCTTTTCAAAGTTTATTTTGTCTACATACAATATATTATGACCAAGAAATTGCACTTCGTTAATAATTGAAATAAGAAGAATTCAAAGTTTATTTGTCTACATACAATATACGTCTCAAGACGATGCACTTCGTTAATACTTGAAATAAGAAGAATTCAAAGTTTATTTTGTCTACATACAATATATTATGACACCAAGAAAGCACTACGTTAAACATTAATCAAAGTTTATTTGAAATAAGAAGAATTCACTTCGTTTATTTTCTACATTCAATATATTATGACACCAAGAAATGCACTTCGTTAAACTTGAAATAAGAAAGAATTCAAAGTTTATTTTGTCTACATGCAATATATTATGACACCAAGAAAGTGCACTTCGTTCGTTACTTGAAATAAGAAGAATTTGAAATAAAGTTTATTTTGTCTACATGCAATATATTATGACACCAAGAAAGAGCACTTCGTTAATACTTGAAATAAGAAGAATTCAAAGTTTATTTTGTCTACATGCAATATATTATGACACCAAGAAAGTGCACTTCGTTATGAAATAAGAAGAATTCAAAGTTTAGAATTCTACATGCAATATATTATGACACCAAGAAAGAGCACTTCGTTAATATTGGAAATGAGAAGAATTCAAAGTTTATTTTGTTAATATTTGAAACCAAGAAAAGAATAATACTTGAAATAAAAGAAATTAAATTTATTGTCTACATACAATATATTATGACACCAAGAAAGAGCACTTCGTTAATACTTGAAATAAGAAGAATTCAAAGTTTATTTTGTCTACATACAATATATTATGACACCAAGAAAGAGCACACGTTGAAATAAGAAGAATTCAAAGTTTATTTTGTCTACATGCAAAATTATGACACCAAGAAAACTTCTACTTAAAACTTGAAATAAGAAGAATTCAAAGTTTATTTTGTCTACATGCAATATATTATGACACCAAGAAAGTGCACTTCGTTAATACTTGAAATAAGAAGAATTCAAAGTTTATTTTGTCTACATGCAATATATTATGACGACACCAAGAAAGTGCACTTCGTTAATACTTGAAATAAGAAGAATTCAAAGTTTATTTTGTCTACATGCAATATATTATGACACCAAGAAATAGCACTTCGTTAATACTTGAAATAAGAAGAATTCAAAGTTTATTTTGTCTACATGCAATATATTATGACACCAAGAAAGTGCACTTCGTTAATACTTGAAATAAGAAGAATTCAAAGTTTATTTTGTCTACATACAATATATTATGACACCAAGAAAGTGCACTTCGTTAATACTTGAAATAAGAAGAATTCAAAGTTTATTTTGTCTACATGCAATATATTATGACACCAAGAAAGTGCACTTCTTCTTGAAATAAGAAGAATTAATTTTGTCTACATACAATTATTAAATAAGAAGAATTCAAAGTTTATTTTGTCTACATGCAATATATTATGACAGTTGTTTGTCTACATGCAGAAGAGCAAGCACTTCGTTAATACTTGAAATAAGAAGTATTCAAAGTTTATTTTGTCTACATACAATATATTATGACACCAAGAAAGAGCACTTCTTTAATACTTGAAATAAGAAGAATTCAAAGTTTATTTTGTCTGCATGCAATATATTATGACACCAAGAAATGCACTTCGTTAATACTTGAAATAAGAAGAATTAAAAGTTTATTTTGTCTATATGCAATATATTACGACACCAAGAAAGTGCACTTCGTTAATACTTGAAATAAGAAGAATTCAAAGTTTATTTTGTCTACATGCAATATATTATGACACCAAGAAAGAGCACTTCGTTAATACTTGAAATAAGAAGAATTCAAAGTTTATTTTGTCTACATGCAATATATTATGACACCAAGAAAGTGCACTTCGTTAATACTTGAAATAAGAAGAATTCAAAGTTTATTTTGTCTACATGCAATATATTATGACACCAAGAAAGTGCACTTCGTTAATACTTGAAATAAGAAGAATTCAAAGTTTATTTTGTCTACATGCAATATATTATGACACCAAGAAAGTGCACTTCGTTAATACTTGAAATAAGAAGAATTCAAAGTTTATTTTGTCTACATGCAATATATTATGACACCAAGAAAGTGCACTTCGTTAA